AGGCCCGGGAGTACTCCATCTACCTCTTGGGGAAATCTCGACCAATGAATAGTGCTATGTCCTGTTGCTAGGGAACGTCATAATTGTACATTTGCCCTTGGCTAAGTACTTGGGCTCTCGTGGTGCTATTGTACGGAGTTTGGCTGCTCAGCCCAGCCGGGCTGAATTCACGTCCCCAGCCCTACGGCTGCAGTTCCTTTGCAAGCTGAATCCTTTCCTTCTCTGGGAGCTGGGCTGGGCCTTTGTTAGTCGCTGAAACAGACAGGACAGGACTCACAGGAACACCCAGATTGTTTTGATGTTACCCAGATTTGAGATGCCTTCAAACCAGACCAAGGTGCCAGCGAGTTGGTGTTTAAAAAAAAAAAAAAGACCTGTGTTTCTTGTGTTACCCTGAATTTAAAGGGTGCATGTACCTCAGAATGTGATTAAGCCAATTGCAACCATATTATGTGCATTCAGCCACTAATGAACTAATAAGATAGAACACCGCATAGTTAAGGGTTAATTTGAATAAAGCAGGGCTTCTGAAGGCAAGGTCAGAACAAGCTGCAAGCTTGCAGACTCCGCTAATCAGAATGGGAGGAGGGGAGAGAAAGAATCAACAATTTGAGATTGAAAGGGAATAAGTGGACAAGAACCTTGGAGTTTGGGTGCCTTTGACATAGAAGCTTATTATAACTAAGACTGTAAGGAATGTTTGTTGATAAGTAGTTTATTGATATTAGGAGAAGTGATGACTTAGTAGGGGTCACGATGATCTGTGTGTTTTGTAAAAGTTAGTTATAAAAAGGACTAGATAATAGAGTGTATTTTGGAGCAGTCCTCTGAAGCCATCCTGAGTGACATTCTTCCTGACACCTTACTTCCCAGCGGGGAAACAACTGGCCATCACGGAACTGCTGTAATTACTCAATACTGTCCCATATTTTAGGTAAATATTTGGGATGTTCTAAACCTATTGCTTGTGTCTGTGGCACTTAAATATAATAAATTGTAGTTTTAGATAAGAGCACGCTTAATTGTGTTAATCTTTCATCAGCCGGAGCACTATGTTCCCATTGATTTATTCCTGGCACCGCCTGGAGTGAAACAGTTAAGTTACAAGTGCAGTGGGTTCTCAAAACCCTGGGTAACACTTGGGCTATTATTAACTATTTGTAACCTGGTAATGCCTCAGAGCCCCAGTCATGGGCCAGGACCCCATTGCGCTAGGCGCTGTACAAACCCAGAACAAAACAGTGGTTCCTCCCCCAAAGAGCTTGCAATTTAAGTAGAAGACAAGACACAACAGATAGATATAGAGAGTACAAAGAAACAATGAGAAATGCTGACCATTACTGGTAGGCAGCTAGTGTGCTGAGACACACTGACTCAGTTGTTGTTGTGGTTTTTTAATAGACATCACAGCAAAGGAGTTAGGAGAACAGTGAGGTGGCTGTGTGGATGTTTATGAAGAGCTCTTCTCACATGTGAACAGCCTGGGAGAAAGCACAATGGTGCTTGTTTGATAGTTTAACAAGTGGGCTATTTTCATTTATGTTGATACTGGAATTTCATTTGAGGTTGGACTTCTATAATGTGGGAAGACAGAAAAATTATAAACACATCATTAAACTATAAAATGCCAGTGTCAAATTAAATGAAGATTCACTTTAGCTTGAGTTATTTTCCTGCCTCTACCACCTACTGACTGTGACATGGGACAGCCTTTCAGGACCCTTTTGCCCATCTGCAAAATGGGGATAATGTTACACACCTTGGAATGTGCTTTCAGATATGAGGATAAAAATGTAAATATTACCTGTTATTTCACAGCAAGCACAGCCATTATTACATTGTGACCAAATGCACCCTGTATTCACACCCTACACACTATTGTAATAATCTCTATAAAAAATAAGGCTCGTCAGGTATTATTTGAAAACTAATAACTCACTGGTCAATAATCATGATGAAATGTATGTACAGTAGAACCTCAGGGTTACAAATACCAGAGTTAAAAACTGACCAGTCAACCACACACCTCATTTGGAACTGGAAGTACACAATCAGGCAGCAGCAGAGACTAAAAAAAAAAGCAAGTACAGTACAGTGCTAAATGTAAATTACAAAAAAATAAAGGGAAATCAGCATTTTTCTTCTGCATAGTAAAGTTTCAAAGCTGTATTAAGTCAATGTTCAGTTGTAAACTTTTGAAAGAATCATTTAACGTTTTGTTCAGAGTTATGAACATTTCAGAGTTACGAACAACCTCCATTCCCTAGGTGTTTGTAACTCTGAGGTTCTGCTGTAGTAACATTGTATGTAAGTATCAGAGGGGTAGCCGTGTTAGTCTGAATCTGTAAAAAGCAACACAGGGTCCTGTGGCACCTTTAAGACTAACAGAAGTATTGGGAGCATAAGCTTTCATGGGTAAGAACCTCACTTCTTCAGATGCAATACATTCTATTGTATGTAAGGTTATGCATTCCCTCTGTATGAGGTTGGTAGCATGTGTTCAAACCCACACAGCCCTGACTAGGCGGAATTTGTTAAACAGATCTGTCCTAAACAAATAAATGTTTGTTTAGCTCAATTTACATACAAGTAGTAAACAAGGTCCTCGAGACTGTAGGGGGCTAAACCGGTTTCTCGAAGATAAAGGACAAGCTGATGCCTTTGGCCAGGTGTCATCAAGGTTAATAGGCAATCACTGTCCATTGGCCTTTTATTGACAGCAAAGGTGGGGGCAGGAACAGATCAATCTGCATTTTAGCAAGCAATTTTAGCATGGAACCTCTTTCACCACGAGACTCCATGTCTCCGTCCATACAGCAGGAAGGAACTTTATCTAGTGGTAACCCAGAGGAAAATGCATTTCAAAGGGGGACTGGACTATAAAACTCAGGGGTAAAAACACCCCAGGATTTCTCTCTCTCTCTCTTTCACCTAAGACAACAAAGGAACCAGCTCTTTGACTTTGGGGGTGGTCCTAACCTGAGAATTTGGTCAGCCATGTTGCTGGGCTCCTGTGATAAGGATTTTAAACAAACTAGATATGGTTCTAGGTAAGATTAGCTACTAGAAAGAGTCTTATCTTTATTTCTCTTCTAACCATTTCTGGCTTTAATATTTGATACGTGTACTCACTTCAAATCTCTCTCTTTGTAGTTAAACTTGTTTTATTTTTTAATCAAAAACTAAGCGAACATTGAGTTTAAACTGAGCTATTTGGGTAACTCCAGGTGAAGTAGCAAACTGTTGCATATTGGCCCTTTACAGGGGCAACAGACCTGTAATATCTGAACTGCCCAGGAGAGGGCTGGACAATGCAGAACACACATTTTGGGGAAAAATCAGGATTTCGAGTGTGTTGAGGTCACCCTTCAAGTAGTAACCCAGGCTGGTGAAAGCCAGGGTGTGGGTGGAGTGTTGCTGTCTG